ACTACAATATACGTACCGGTGACGAAAGGGCATGACGTCAGAGATATCCAGACCCTACAGCTATGACGTCATCAACACCAGGACAACAAGGGCCAAGTACATCGGCAGGTTTGCAGCACGGGTAGCCCGGCCTCGATGGATGCTCTTTGACGAGGACTAGATTTCAAGAAATGACAGCCCAGCAAGTCCAGCTTCGTGGTTAACTCAGGGCGACGGCCATTTACTTATAAATGTATCACCAAAATTTAAGAAGGCCAATGGTTATGAGTTACTTAAGTTTTATTGTTGATAAACTTGCCAAAGAATTGACCAAAAAAAATTTATCAGCCTACAAGACAAGGGCATGCACCCCCACCCCCCAACACACACAAACACCCTGAATGTAACCAATATATAATGAGGAAAAGGCAAGCACACACACACACACACACACACACACACACACACACACACACACACTGTAAGTTACAAAGTCTAAAGTGTAGCCAACAGGCGACTTTATCATTACAGTGGCGGTACTTCAACGCCTTCCTCACTACCTCACAGAGCAACATGAAAGCTACCAAAAAATGTTACATAGGAATAGCAAACATCGTCAACTTGTTTTTTTAATCAAACAATTTCCACTCACACTTTATTAGTCTGTGCCTCAGCTCAAACTGTTGTTAGGTTGAATTTTTAGCCTGGGGGAATAGATTCAGATTGTAGCCTCTGTCACATCGGATTGTAAACAAAACCTGTAAATTTTTCCTGTTGGTATATATTTCCAGTGGTGAGGCAATGTACCCTCTTCTTTTCAAAATGTGGGTATTGGACAAAATTTTTGAATTTTCGAAAAATGTTGCTCCTATATATTTTAAATCGTTATTTTATGGCAATCGCTGGAAGGAAGAAGGGACGATTGTTCTTTCAATGTAACTAAAAGATACATTCCTCATGGTAGATCGTTATTTCCTTAAAGCAGCGGGATTTGGCACTTTTTAAATTTGATATTCACTCACTCACTCCCTCCCTCGCTCGCTCGCTCACTCACACTCACTCACTCACTCACTCACTCACTCACTTCCTCACTCATGATCACTCACTCACTCACTCACTCACTCACTCACTCACTCACTCACTCACTCACTCACTCACTCACTCACTCACTCACCAGACTTTCAAACGAAGTCCATCCGGAATGCCACAGCCCAACACCGAGGGTTTGCATCATTTACACATTTTATTAGAACTCTCCAACTTCACATCAAAACCTTCTAGTCGTTTATCATCATGGTCTGGTGGTGACAATTTAATAAACCAGCCAACACCAACGCCCTGTAACCATATGCAGTCCAAGCCTAATATCTATCATGTAATTATTTTTCCATATTAAGTAATCATGATCTTATATATACAGTCAATCTTGTAAATGATGTGCTAATATTTTGCGCTATCACTGAGTGACTCGTTCTCACTGTCGAAGACTGCAAGTCTTTGCAATATTCTATTATTTACCATCGAATTTTAAAGTTATTCATGCCTAGACGTCTGCAAGGCACATGACAGCAATAGATCTACTACAATACTAATGATACTAGTACAGGTATTTCCGTATTTTGTGACGTTTGTTTACAACATAGAAACCATATATCGCTGGCGGGCTCTACAGTATTAAACACTATGATGCAAAGTTACTGAAGTATATAAAAAGATATAACAGTTACATCAAAGAACACCATAAGATGTCCATTTCTAATTACCGGCCCACCAAACATCTGCTACATGGCTCACGGCGAGACTCGCTATTCAAAACCATAGGCCATACCAATTTGCCTCATAAATGTAGGGGTGCATTTGAAATATTTTATTGACCACGAAAGCAGCTACGGTAAAAATAAAGACACGTGCTCCTGCTCCCAGGAGACACCGCCTCCACCACAATACTCCTGAAGGTATATCTCCTTCACGGAGTAATAACGCACACGGCGTCGCCTTGACGTCATTTCGTCTTAAAATAAAGATCAAGACAAGATGGCGGGAAGTTGTACCGTAGCTGGTCTCCACCGGTCTGATGTGCATCCCTCAGTCCATATGTGTTTTTCGAATTCCCCTTCATTTTTCCTTCGCAGTCATTTCGGCACACAGATCGGGCAGTGTTAAGTTCAGACGGGAAGTAAATTTAAGGTTACAAGTCGGATTTAATCTAGTTTTAGACAGAGGAGCGTCAGCCAGAGAAGTGCAGTCTGTTTAACTTACACATAAATACAGTAGTACTAACTCCAGGCCCAGCCAAATATTATATATCAGCAGACTATGCCAAAAAGTCGTGCGCTCGGAGATAACAAGTCAATGTACAACTCCGAATGTTACTCAAATGTTAAGTCTGTCCTACTCTATCTTTACCTCCGGGGGAGGAGACATCCTTCCGCGGAAGGGTTTTGTGAGAGATTTAGATTTTCACGTTCGCAGCGATTTCTCGCGTTTGGGTGGACGGATTCTTTTGAGACTCGGTATATGTTTTGGTATTGGGCTGCAGATGATGCACGTTCTTTTGTTTTTATTGTATATGTGTTTTCGGGTGTGAAAATGGTGCCTTTTGGTGGCCCCAAAACACCCCTTTGAGCGTGAAAGTGGTCGCGACCGTTGACCTTTGGCGTGTTTAAGCTATTCTCGGTCTGGTCCACGTATATGACCCCTCACACAGATGGGTGTCCGGTCTCGATAAATTCTTTGTTTAAAACCCTATACAAAAATATACAATAAAAAGAACGGAGGTATAAAATCTCAGATTTTACTTGTTACCACTTTTTTCTTCCTGACTGTACTTTTAAAGATGGCAGACTGGGACAGCGATAATAATAGAGCCCCCCCCCCCCCCAGATATATTTTGAAGAATGAGAAGATCCTCCTCCTTATGGGTGTCACAACCTTTCCAGATCGTGGACATTGAGGTCAATTTAAAGAGACGATATTTTGTGTTGGATAAGTTTTCAAAAGTCATTTTTATTCTGCTGCTGAAAGTTATTCACATATTACATTCAAGATGGCAAGCCCTCTAAGTCACACGACTCTTCAATTCAGACCTGGGAAAAGCAGTGAGTATTGTGTAACCAACCTGGAATTCTTGCCACTCCTTTCACCTTTCTTCCTCACTGCACTTTTTGTAAGAAGGAAGATTGCGATATCGATGATGATAGAGCGTCTTTTGTTTTGTTAATTACCCCCTCCAGGTATCTTTCGAATGATGACAGCGTCCATTGTTTATCCATAATTGCCCCTCATTGATTTGCTACCACCCTTTTGTCTCTGACTACATTGGCGTAAGAGGCCTGAAGGTAAATTGTCTGTTCACGACAGAATTCCTCCATGATTGGAGAGAGGGTGTCGCTTTGCTCTTTGATGTGTCTCTGTGAAACAATCCTGCTTTACTTAACGTTGTTACGACTTTATTCAGTATGTGGATATTGAGGTCAACTTACCAGCCAGCCACGTGCGAAACAATATACTAGTATATTTTGCTTCCCGTCTCCAGAAAAATCTTCTACACCATGTGAAAGAAATATTTGACCGCAGTGGTTTCTCATATATCTGGCATAACGACAACGTCGATCTCGATAAGCAACACATACATCATCATCATCGGTCGACCGTATTGGTCGGGGTTATACCGCCCCTTACGACCTTACGAGGTGACATACCCTTTCGTTAGCTTTATACAAGACGGAGTTCGCCACGCCTCCGTCCGCGGGTGATGATGTAATCACCATGTGTGGTGATGTAATCACTGATACGGAACAGATCAGGCCTCCATTCGGGTGATTTGAAGTGAATCACCAACTCCATACAGTAGTGTTTGTACCATCGCACACCGGGGCATGCCCCAACTCTTTTTCGAAAGGTGTGGTGGGATCTTTAACGTGCGTGGGGTGTGGCTCTCCCCAAACACGGGACCTCCATTTAACGTCCTATCCGAGGGACGTCCCTAGCCGAAGCTAGGTACTCATTTCCACCTGAGTGAAGTGAGGAAAGTCGTGTAAAGTGCCTTTCCCAAGGGCACAAGATCGGTGACAAGGTGGGGTTCGAGACCACGACCTCTGGGGTGTGAGCCGAACGCGCTACCGATTGCGCCACACGACCCCACGTACACATACATGTATGTACATTACTTAGAAGTAGACTCTCTGACATGTATATCCGAACCTTTCTTTACAATCTCTCTGTTGATGTCGGTAGGCTAACCGTTTTATAGACATCTGAAACCTGTATACGCAATGGAACGTTATCAAAGATCGACTTCGATGTTAGATTAGCCATATGTAAGATTAGAGTTAGCGAACATACATTACAAATAGAAAAGGGTAGATACAAGCAATTGTCTGTTAACGACAGAATATGTAAATATTGTACAGGAAATGCATTGCAGGATGAAATGCACTTTATTTGTCATTGCCCTCATTATAGCACCGAAAAAGATAGGTTATTTGAAATGGTCACCTAAATGTTCCCTAGCTTTATTCACCTTCTCATCCTACAAAAAAACTGCATTTCTACTAACACCTCCCAATTCATATATCTAGCAAAATGTCGGCCATATCATACTCCACTGCACACTGAAAAGAAATCAAACCATACAATAACTACAAACGTAGCATTAGCATTACTTATTATCATTTTTACTGTTTATTTTTGTTCTTGCGATTAGTCTTCGGGCATAAATTTGCAATAAACTTTCTTGTTGGTGGGATTGTAGAGTGGTTAGACCTGCGTGCCACACAGGGACTGCGTATTCTGACTGTTCGGACGTATAATAAATACATTTCACAAAGATCTTCAGTGCAGACACCAAAGCGTTTTAGTTACCTAAGGCATGTGCCAAATTATTTCAGTTATTCTACCAGGTAGTAATCCTATTCTGTTTATCTTAGCATAATTGTTTCGACCTTATCCAGTACGTGGATATTGAGGTCAACTTATAAACCATCCAATGAACCATCCAATGAGAGGTACGTACACTTATTTCTCACTTGCATAATCTCAGTGCAGAAGAGTACACATTTTGCTCCCCGTCTCCAATTTTTCATAGAGCCATTCTGACATCTTCGAAGAAGATTCATCTGACGATCCAGCAAGGACTTACCTAAGGTATTTACAAAGTTACTCTACCAGCTAAGTCTATCTGTGTGCTGTCTGTACATGTTTTAACATTTAGAAACGAGTGTCAGAAACAAGAACAGAACTATCCGAGAGATATCTGAACACGCAGTGCGTAAAGCCGGCACTTGTTTAGCCGAACGTTCCCCAACCTGTGCAGGCTCCGGGGCGGGTGGGAATTTTGATACAGCGTTTTGAAGACTTTTTACCGCGTTGTTTTAATAGCCGGTCATCCTACAACCAGCCGCGAGAGCGCGGTTCTCTCGTTGTGGTGACCCTCGCCCCATAAGGCCGGCCAGGCGTGGAAGGACTGCTGGGGTCTTGGCAAGCAGGATTCTCTGCCCTCTCCGCCCGTTCCACTCACCATGGCGGAGCTACAGAAGAAGAAGGTAGATTTGGAGGCGGCCATCAAGGAGGTTGAGCTCCGACGAGAAGTAGAGGCACTGGAGCAAAAGTTACAGCGAATGCAGTCGCCCTCGGCCCAACCCCCTTCCTCTGCGAGTGCGGGCGCCCCGGTTCTCCCGGCGGTTGGTACGTCCG